TCTATCATATGGGTTGGCACGTTGTTGAGAACAAAATCAAAAGATCATTTTTTAAGGGTCTAAATTATGTTTTTCTTTCATTGAGCCAAAACAACAAATAGTTTGAAAGCATAAATTCAAAATCTATAAAAGCCACTAGTTTACACAGTATATACAATGCCTAAAATAACGAATTTTTTGTGGGAAATGTATAGAGAGGGGAAGGAGAGGATCAGGGAGGGGAAGAGAGAGATAAAATAGACATACCTTGATGGCTTAGGGGGACTGGTAGGGTTGGAGATTCGCTGATCGATAGTCGCTGGAGTATTTGGTGAGGGTTCACTGGAGCGTAATGGGTGGGATTTAAAGGGTTCACTGGAGCGTTTTGATCTCTGTAGTTAGTTGTATTTATCTGATGTGCCAATTATAAATGAGGTTTTAATTCACTTGAATTGTTCTACCCATATGATTGAATTTAATGAGATTTTTTCTTTAGTCATTGTTTAAATTCCTTGTTTGGTTGAGAAATAAAATTTATTTACAGATATAGATATGATTTCACAGACATTCAAAGCCAATGGAGAAAAAACCGTGCATTTAAATCCTACCCCTGGATCAAAACATAGCACACCATTGAAATCAAAGAGTACTACTGCTACTGGTGCATCCTGTGAAGCTTGTGGGAGGAACATCTAAGACTTGCCTAACTGCTTTTGCTCTGTTGCTTGCAAGGTAAATAATGATGATGAACACATTTTCATAGGTTCATTAATTACTTGATCTCCATTTCCTACATAGTAGTTAAGCTTGTCAACGTGTCATGGAAAATTATGAATATTTAGGTATTGATAGATTCATTACAGATCTTGTGTAAAGACCAGAGCCAAGAGATGATTGCAATCCCAGTGATCTCCATTTCCTACATAATAGTTCGAAGCTTGTCAACATGTCATGGAAAATTATGAATATTTAGGTATTGATAGATTCATCACAGATCTTGTGTAAAGACCAGAGCCAAGGGATGATTGCAATCCCGGTTCTTGAATTTGATGGCCTGTCTGAGAAGCAAGGCCCTGGCTCAAAAAAGGATAAAAATGAACACGAATCATCCAGAGAAAACCAAGCCATTGTGAGTTCAGCATTAAAGCCAAAGGGGCGATTTCGAAAGAGGAAGGGTGTCCCTCGCAAGGCTCCTTTCAGTTAGCCCAAAAGAATCATTATTTTATTAGTTTCTAACAGTAAGAAAATCTTTATTGCACCACATTCTTTCCTTTAGATTACACAAGGTATATTCCCAATAAGACAACATTCTAGGAATGGGTGAAGGGCAGAGAGAGAAAGAGAGAGGAAGAGGGGTACCTGGGCGACTGCAGAGAAAGGGAGACATGGCAGAGGCTAGCTGTGTAGCTGGGGATGTGGTGGTGTTGCAGACGAAGTGGCGATGGTGGTGGTGTTTCTGGTGTTCCTCGTGGCGTCACTGGAGCGTAACAGAGAGAGAGATGGAGAGAGAGAGAGAAGGTATTGCTTGTCTAAGAAAAGGGATGGCTCTCTGGTGGTGTTGCTGGTGTTTTTCGTTCGGATACAGATCTTGGGTTGGGTTGAGTTGGATGTGATGGTTGAGTTTAGTTAAGTTGGGTTGGATGTGATGGTTAGGTTGGGTTAAGTTGAATGAGATGAATTTAGGGGGAAAATATATGGACTTTTGAATTTGAATGAGATGTATTGTGAGCCTTTGGATGTTGAAGCCTTTGGATGAATGAAGATCGTACGATCGGCTTATTGAAGCTCCGCTCTGTTTTATATTATAGATTATAGATTATAGATATTAATAGTCCAAACAAAAAATTTAAATCCATGCCTAAACAAAATATTTCAACTTAATTGAGTCTATTAATTCAGCTGTAAAATTAAAAGACTTTAAAATTTATTTTTTAAATAAAGAAAAAAAACTAAATGTAAAACTAAAATTACTAAAAAACCTAGTTTTAATCCTAAAAAAAGTCAAGTTTAAACTTCCCATTGTTTCAATTATTATTTCTCTCTCTCTCTTACCATTAAGTTCAAATATGACAACAAAAATTTGAATATAAAAATATAATTAATATTTTTATATTTAAAAAATTTTAAAATTAAATTTATTATTAATATAAAAACAAAATGGCCTTATTTATCGTTTCTTCTTTAGGCTCCAAAATATCTTAGTTTATCTTTGATAGTTGTCAAGATTGTACTCAGCAAACAGTTGAAGTCCTGAACTAACTAGTGAAGATTCTATTATCTCTCTCTCTCTCTCTCTCTCTCTCTCTCTCTCTCTCTCTCTCTCTCTCTCTCTCTCTCAGACATGGTAGATTGTGATAGAGAGGCTTAACTTGAGAGCAATTGTCAGAGCTGATTTACCCTTCCAGGTTTGATAGCCTTTGTGAGAGTTAGCATTCAAATAATAGATGATAATGGGTCTTATCTGTTTCCCTACACAAACTACATGGAGCATTGGTATTTGGTGCATACATTGAATGCTATCCTTGGCGCTTAGTTTCCATGAAGTCATAGCAAGGAAATTGAAGAATTTGAATGGGGATCTTCTTTTTGGAATTGGGGGACCTAGTCTAACCACACCCCTGGATGGTGATCAAATACAATAGAAGGCATAAATTCTACAGCTAAAAGTGTGAATTGGTTTAACCATCTTTCATTGATCAGGATTATGTCCAGCCTCCGTGATATGCAATGAGCAATTTCTCTTCTGTTACTCCAAGTATAGTGCCATCCAGTGTATCTAAGGTCCATCATATCAGAATCTTTTAGGTAGAAGTCAAAGTCCTCTACGGCCTGAGTCGGCGCCGGCCCATGCACTAGGCCATTAAGGCCATTGCCTTGGGCCCCAAATGTAACAAAAATTTTAGGGCCTCAAATTAAATTTTTATGAATTTTTTTGGAAGTCGGTACACCTAATTAGACTTATTTGACAAAAAATATATAGAATAAAATGTGAGTTAAAAAGACATAAATACTTATTTTAAGGTTATTTAATTCAAAATCTTTTATCTTTAATACACCTTGATTCATGTGGATTGGTTAATACATGTTTAATGCAAATTTGATTCATGTGTATTTGTTAATACATGTATATATATATACTTATTTATATACACACACACTATACGAATATATATACTTATTTATATACACACTCACACACACATACACACACACACACACACATATATATATATATATATATATATATATATATATATTTATGTTAAATATCTTATTATTAAAATTTGAATTATCTTTAATGTACCTTGATTCATGCGTATTTTTTTTTTTGAAAAGTGATTTTGTTTTCAAATTATATTTAATACACCTTGATTCAAGCGTTTTTTTTTTTGGAAACTAATTAATTGAATATCCGAATAATGTAATAGTATAACAAATACTCTGTAACAAAAATAATGTTCAGTAATTTTGTGTATATGGTAACAAATTCAAAATGGAGATGGACTATTTTTAATGAAATTATATGAAATTATATGTTCGACAAAATGTAATAGTACAATATTTTGTGTAAATAGCTTGATACACTATTATTGTTATACTGTTACATTGTTAGTGTTACATTGTTACACTTTTATTGTTACACTTTATATTGTTACATTATTCAGATACTAAATTAATATATATATATTAAAGTTCTCCCATAAAACTGGAATATGTTTAATGTACCACTTTTCAAAGAAAAGTGGTGAATTAAATACACATGGATTAATGGAGGGCAAAAAGGTCACAATAAAAATAGATAAATTCAAATTATATACTTGGATACAAATAAGTATCAAAATTAAGTATTTAATAACCCTACATTTTTTAGTGTGTATTTTTTGCCAAATAAATCTAATTTGGTATACTCCCTTACAATTTACCCAATTTTTATACAATTTTATTAGACTTAATTTTTCGGTTTAATTTGACTTAATGCATTTTTACCATTAAATTAGTAAGGAAAAATAACATTGAATAAGTTTACTAAAAATTAAATAACTATAATTTATTAAGTGTTAAAATTAGGTCCTAAATTAAATACAAGTAATAGTATTGTAAAATTTTTAGAATTTCTTACAAAACCATTTAGGGCCTTAAAGTTTGAGCTTATGTGTTTTATATTTGCCCAATGTTTATGGTATATGAAAAATATGTGTTATCACCTAATAAATATTTTTCTAACTTATTATCAAAAAAAAACTATATAATACATTGTCTATCAGCTAATAGTTATAAATTATAACTTTATATATTTTTAGATTAAATTTGAGGTTACTTCAAATTTAGGATAAATTTTTACTTAATAATTTTTTTAAAGCGTATAAAAATGACTATAAAATAAAGTAAATAGAAGTATCTCACTATTTGAAACTAATTATAACCATAATTGTATTACAAAATTTCTTAGTTAAAACATTCCGATGGTTCTCTACAATATTAAAACATGTTTCATACTATTTAACTTACACAAATTTTAACTTTTTATTTATTATGAAAAAAAAATCATTTTGTTAGTTAGTTTAAATTCTCATTCTCTTTAATAGAAAATTAACTAAATTATATTTGGTCAAAAATTTGACTTTTGCTAATTGAATTTTAATGTATAAAACTTGAATTTAAAATTTCAATTAATATTTTTGAATCTCAAAAAAGAAAAAAAAATATTAAATAATTTAATTTTTGACAATTATTTATATTATTGCAAAATGTATTAATAGGGCCTAATTTAAAACTTTTGCCTAGGGCCCCCAAGTATGCTGGGCCGCCCATGGCCTGAGTCCATCTACCATGGCCTCCTTGACTTTCTTCCAGACTTCTGATGACATTGAAGTCACCAAGTAGCACCCAAGGCACATTGGACTATACGTCAGCGTGATATCTGATGTTTCTCCATAATAATCTTTCATATTCATCATTAGAACCCTATACTATGGATGCAATGAATGTTACTTAGCCATCAGAGCTCTAAACAATATAGTGGATAATTTGATTAGTTTTAGATATTTTAGACACCTCTAGTGAATTAGGGTCCCAGCCTATCCAAATTCTACCATAACTGGGACTGTGGAAATTGGTTATACTATTCCAATTTCCAAAAGTGTGCTGAATCACAACAGGTTAATTCACCAACCTGACTTTAGTCTCAACAATACCCAAGAAGTGTAAGTGATTATTTTCCTAATTTCCTACTAATTAGAGGACTTTTTGAGTCCTCTAATGTTCCAACGTGCCAGATTAATGATAAGAAAAGTGATTTCCTGAGCTTAAGGATCTCCGGTACCCTTTGCTTCCCATGGTCAGTTGACTTCTTTTTGACTTTCTTCTTCTTGGTGGTTGCAATCTCCTTACTAGATATCACAGTATTCTGCTCTGCTGGAGCTAAGAGAGATGTGAATTCTAATGAGGGTCCAGGTGGATGCTCAGAGTTTTGTGCAAGCTTAACTACAAGATGGCCACCTTCAAGTTCTAAGCAGTCAAACTTATTAGGGGAGTTAATAGGTGAGGTAAGGATCATATGAGGAGTCATTTTGTTTATGTTGAATAGAGGTGACAATAGAGTCAGGCGGGGGATCAACATTTGTAGCGGGCTTGCTGTAACTAGAAGTATCAGCAGTTGGTTGGATTTAAGATAGGGGGTTTGATGGTTCAGTAGGGAGCGGAAGTTTCTTAGCAGTAGCCACTACATCATTGTATTTGTCCTTGCAAGCCTTGGTTGGAGCCAGGGTATCAAGCTTGGGCCTCCCAGCAAGACTATTACTTAGGGCAGTTAGCATCTTCATTGCCAAATATTTGGCATGTATGGTATGCCTTGGGCTTTCATTGGCATTCAGTATTTATCACCACAGTTTCTATCCTTTCATTTAACTTCCCCTTCAAGTCAAATGAGTCAATGAGCTCTGTTGTGGCCTTGATTTCTACATAAAATCTAGCAAAAATTATTCTTTTCTTCTTAGTGGTTAGAGTGTCAGCATAGAGGGGTCTTACCAATTGCACTTGCTATGTAGCTAAGACCATCTTCATTCCAGTATTGCAATGAAATGTTGTGAAGTTTGATCCAGATTGGGGTGGAGGAGTGGCTTTCTTTGGCCAAGATCATGGCTGGCTACCATTTTTTAAGTATGAGAGGTCTACCAGAGAAGAATCAGGTGTCAGATTAATACACATTTTCCCTAGATTCATCATTCATAAATTTGAAGTAAAATAAGCCCACATCATTAGCAAGGACATCAAGCAGGCCAAGCTTATCCCACAATTTGTGAGCAATGAAGCTTACTGATGAGAAAGAAAGTTTTTTACCAATAAAGTACCCTACTAGACATGTTTTCCAGTCAAGGCTACCTTGGTTGCCAATTTATTTCAGAGGGTGAACTACCGTTCTATCATTCAACTTGTTAGGCTCAAAGAACTTTAATCTCATTACCTCATTTGTTGCGTCACCTGCTGAAGCAGAGCGGGGGTGCCACCATCCCCTATTTTAGTATTTGATTCTAAGGTACTTTTGGGGCAACAGATGCATGAGGGCTATTGGCTAAGCAGCTAGTTGCTGGAGCAGACTTAGCCATTTGGTTGGATGGATTTTGTGGTGCGTGCGCAAACACCTCTCTTTTTCCTTTGGGTGTGAGGGCTTGTTTACCAGGCACACTTTGTTGGATGTGAATTTCACTCACCGCTTCCTCAGCCTCCTTGGGACCACCTGAGCACTTTGAGGGGCCATTGTGAGGCTTTGATTGGAAGGCAATAGTAGGGGAAGCCAACGAATCTGGTTCGGGTACCTTTGAGAAGGGTTGTCTTGACTGGTTGAGTCAACATGGGCATTTGGGTCTTTAATCGGGTTATTGGCTAGAGTTGGGGCCACTCTCTTCGGTTTTACAGTTGGGGAGTTTTTCTAGAGTTATTTGATTGTTGCCATTGATGACAAGATACCATTGTATTTTGATTTCTTGTTGGAGTTATATCATAATTTGTTTATAGAGAAAGAGCAAAACGTGTTGCACAAGGATTGCAATCTTCTCTATCCTCTAGCCCCTTCTCACCTATTCCTTTTTTTTTTTTTTTTTTTTTGGAGGGGGGGAGGGGGGGAGAGAGAGAGGAGGGAATGAGATTAAAATCCGCAACCACCCATATGGAAAGTGAACTCATCTCACTGCACCGTTCCCTCATCCCTCCCACCCACTCCCCCAGAAGCAAGGAGATTACAAATTGGACTCAAGTAAAATTGCATGTACCAATTGTTCATAACAATTTTTTTACACCAAATACTATAAATAAATTTAAGCAAACTCTCTATAGATTATGATGGTGCTCAAAAAATTGAGAGGCGTGAGGTAGAGAGTTAGATGAGCTATTGGCGGATGTGTCGTGTGTGTAAAAATGAATGAGAATACACAAGAAAATAAATGATTCACCAGCTATAGAAAAACTTAGTTAATCCACTGTAATAGAAGGTTTTGCTCCTTGATTGTATATTGTTTTCTTGAAAAAGAAAAGTACAATAGGATTTTTTACTTACTTAAGACCCCCTTTTTACATAGTGATTATTGTCTTTTATAACAAAATATTTAAGAAATGTTTAGGAAATATTCAGAGAATATTTGGTGCGACTTATTGTCTAATGTATGGTTTGATGGCGAAAACTCTTTTCTGTCTCTTCTGGTAGTTTCTTTATTATTTGTTGCATCCTGTATGCAAAGTGAACTCATCTCACTGCACCATTCCCTCATCCCACCCACCCTCTCCCCCAGAAGCAAGGAGACTACAAATTGGACTCAAGTAAAATTGCATGTACCAATTGTTCATACCAAATTTTTTACACCAAATACTATAACTAAATTTAACCAAACTCTCTATAGATTCAAAGCCTGATGCTCTTGACATTCTTTCTTTTAAATTCCTAATATGTGAATTTCAATCTTCGAGCATGTTCTAGGAGCACAACTAAAGGTAGCACAAGAGGTTCAAATCTGACATGGCATGACTCTTTGAACCTGCACTCAGGAATGGTAATACTTTGAAAAATGCATGTTGTCTTTACTACACCTTTATTTAATTTTGCTCAATGGTGAATTATCTATCATGTGTTAGGTGAATAACTCACTTATAAATAATTGATTTTGATGGTGCTTGAAAATGCTTAGCCCAAGTCCAGAATGGTGATTTAATGGTCTAGAAAAAGAGATAGTGTGAATATATGAATTGAGCTGTAAGGATGAATCAAAAACAGTATATAAATGGTTCATCTTAATCGAGAGATTTATGCTATGTCCACTGTAATGGAATCTCTTGCTCCTTGGGGGTGTATATTTCTTGAATAAAAAAATTACAACAGGTTATTTTCTTTAAAGCCTATTCATACAATGTTATAGTAATACCAGTATATTAGTGGGAGAAATTGTCACTCCCCCTATATGATAATGTTCTATTTATACGGATAATCCTTCTAGGGCTTCTTACGACTTCCTCTCCTCTTTTTGTTGATTCTGTGGTCCCTTTTTCTTTTGTCCTTTAATGATTTCTGTCAAGCGACGCCACTGTACCCACGATTCTTGAATGATTATGTGCACAAATATTCCTTTCACCAAAGAGTACATGATCGTTAGAGGCTTCAAAAATTGTCTCTTGGTCCCTAAACACGTGGCACGAAATGGGGCAATTTGGAGTCTGATAAGTACCGAGCTCCTTTATCGTGGGTTGTTTAACGTTGAGCTTGCTATGACCAAGCAGAGTCATACTGAGCTAGACTTTCTGTTGGGCTTCCGCTTTTAGATTATGACTTAGTCCTTATTATGGAACAGATGGGCTGGGGTTTCTTGGGTAGTTGTGCTATTTTTTTGGTCCATTAGGTGATTTGGGTTTAAAAAAGGCAGCACACTCCAAAATCCTATCAGATTCAGCTAGAATTGATGGTAAGTAAGTTTGAATCAAGTGATATATGGAATACGATGATTTAAGAGTAATGTTACTTGACATAATCTCCTAACATAATTTGCTGACTAAATTATTTATAACCATTGGATTAATAATTGCCCCCAATATTTTTTGGGAAGTGTAACTAATCTAATAATTGTTAAATTACATAAACAAATTATATTAGTAATTAAGTTAAAATAATATTGTTGATGATTTAATAGGAGCGACTGCCAAAAGCTAAAATTACAAATTTGGAAATAAGAAAGTAAAAATATGTAGCAAAATACTATGCTTAAAGATTTGATGCTTCATGGTGCACCATCTCTATACTACACCCTCCTTGAATACCGTGTATCGTCCTTACTTTTCAGGTCAGACACAGACCCAACACAACTGATCAACTGCATCAATGTTCGATAAGCCTTCATTCTCCCACTCCTACCCGAACACCCATTATCAACCGTTGGATCTCTTACACTTTCCGACCCATTGACGTCTCTCAATCCACTCACACCTTCCACACTCTCGGAGGCAGATACAGACGGTGGAGACAACTCTTCCTTATTCAACTCTGTAACGCTCTGTTTCCTTTCCTCATACTCTTCTCTCCCACTCCTTCTTCGCCTTCTCTTCTCGTCGCCTGTCTGTGTACCAACATCGGCGGACACTTTTCCGGCGAGCTCTTGACTCGACTCGGCCGTGTGGACTCTATATTCGTAGTGAGGAGTTTCGATTGAGCTCCATGACTGATTTTTTCTCCTCCTGGCAGAGATCGACGAATCAAAATTCTCGCCGGAGAGATCCTTGTCCATCACCGACGATGCCGTTTCGTATGATCGGAAGCTCATTGAGCTTAGAAGAAGTTCTGATCCTTTGAGAACGTATTCGTGGCCGTTGATTGGGTGTATCAAGTCGTTCTCCGACAAGTCGTGCCACACATATCTATTTTTATAGCTCCTGGAACGATCAAATCAAATACATTGTCATGCAAGGACCAGACATTTTGTAGATTCAAGCTGTGTTTGGTTGCTAAGAACGTTGATTCAATCTTATTTTCTTTCAGTTTCTTCTATGTTCTTGGAAACCAAACAGAATTGAGAATTTACCGTTTTGAAGACCACGAATACATGTCCGCCATGCCCTTTCCTCTAAGAAAGTTCAGTCTATTCGTCACATCTGCAAAATAGAGCAATTCAGGTAAATTTTGTTCTCATCGGCAATTTCTGTGACTATGATGTGTGTGTGAGCAAGGTTCAATTTGTGGGCCGATACTATTTAGCCGAGTCTGTCCGATTACGCACTTGATACCTTTCCCAGTGCCTATAAACTACGAGTCTTACAAATCTCATACAGTTCTGCAATTTGGCATGAATATATTGCCTTCTTCTACTTTTTTTAAGCTGTTTTGCCTCATACTGATGTCGTGACAGATGAATCTCAGAACCCTCCGAATTAATAGCCCATATCCAAACCTTGAATTATGTGTGTTTGTGTGTGTGTGTGTGTGTATGTGTGTGTGAGAGAGAGAGAGAGAGAGAGAGAGAGAGGGCTTTTGTTACCTTTGAGATAGAGTCCTTGGGATGAAGAGAGAGAAACTTCAACAAAATGAGGATGCTCAAGGTGGCCATTTCTGCAGAGGTAGTAAACAACAGGGACGACTCTTCTGTCAGTCTTCGACTTGGGTTCGACCCAAATTTTCGTTCTTTCAGGACTAGTAGTGATCTCTCTGTTGTACCATTTCTTTGGGATCAAAAGCTCTGTACTCACTCTTGCACTGGTCGCCATTAACATGAAACAGAGATTTACTATTTACACAAGCTTATGTGGGTGGGGTGTGTGCCCTGCAGGGGGGTATACATAGTGAGAGGACAGGGGCTTGGGAAATGGGAAGAATTCAGTTATGTCAAATGGAGGAGAGTTGAGACAGTGAACAACTGCTAACAAACAAATTTCAAGTCCTAACCCTTCCGCAAATCAGGCATTGAATTGGCGCCAAATGTACCTAATTGATCAACTTGGATGAGTATGACGTTGTTTGAATCTAAAGTTCGCGTTGTGACAGCGAGTTTAAAAGATGTGTAATTGCTGCGATTTTTTGTGTTAAACAATAATTGTTGGCTTTTTTTTTTTATCTACCCACCTGGTTTTTTTATCATTGGTTTGTGTTTTGACAAGACAACCTTAATAAAAAAAGGACGTAGAAATCCACGAAGGGAAATTTTAGGCAGGGGAAGATTTTTTTCGTGATTAGTTTACCTAATGTTAATCATACACGAAAAAAGTTACACTTGATGGGAAATCCTTTGTAGATTGAATTGTAAATTCAATATTTTTTTATTTTTTTTTAATAATTTCTTACCCTCTGTGGTGCCAAATGCCAACAGCCTCCTCAAAGTCATTGGGTGTGATTCTAGGAAAAGAAAAGATCACCCACCAAAGTAGGCATAGGACAAATTTTCAAAATTTTTTTCAATTTCCAAAGTCAATGCCAGTCTCCCTTGAAAGTTGAAACCATGAAACCCGAAACAGGGGTTAGAACTTAGAAGTTGCCAATTTGGAGTCTCAAGTCTTGGCAAATTCAACAAAGACCCACATGACACATCTTTAACTTCAGAAGTAGCACTCTGGAAGCCCTGAAATAGAAACACAATTCACTCAAAATGTGAAAAGAAATAGAAGGTAGCTAAGAGGATTGAAGATTAACCCATTTCTCTCTCTATTTTCCTAACCCTGCCATCACCCGGCGTGATGAAAGGGCACTTTGTTATGATCAGGTCCAACAACGGAGACAGACGGGGCGGAGTCAGAAATTAAATCTTGGGTGGGCACTTTAAATTTAAGTTTTAATTAATTCTTTTCAATTGATAAAAAAATAGATAAGATATTTATAATTATTTACATAGAGGTGAATCATAGAAAAATAGAGACTATTACAAGAATGCAAGCAAAAAAAAGCTGTGAATATCTAAATAATTGCAAAAAAAATCGGAATACTATAAAAAAATTAAAGATTCAATTACAAACTAATTGAAACACATTATCAAAAAACACTATTTAAGCAAGCAAACAAGTAAAATAAGTAAAAACAATTATGTAATTTAAGGGCAATGGATTTGTCGAAAAAATCATGACTAATGTTGTAGTCTACTCATTAGAATTTATATTACGGTATGACAAAGCTCGGTGGCAGATCACAAAATCACCATTCCCATCTTTTTCTCTCTCTTTCTCTATCTCTCTAACTCTCTGAGTCCTTCAATTTTTTCTAGTTTGAATATTCTCATCGGATTAAACTTTTTATATATAGAGTTTTTTCAACTTCAAATGTTTTGTCATTTTACTTTGCAATCCTAGTTTTTTATGTACTTACAAAATAATCAAAATTTTCCCTATACAAGAATCATAATTTGTATACAATTATAAAATGACATTATAGTTTTTTAAAAGAAAAATCACAAAACGAACTTAGTTGTGTCCAAAAATTATCTGAATGTCTCTATAATGTGTTCATAATTATTGATGTATGAAAATTATAGGTGGGCACGATTAAAATGTGTTAAAAATACTTTGTATATAAGGACATGTACAACAGCATATATACTTTTGTAATTTTTTGAGAAAATTGAAGGTGGTCTAGCCCTAAGATATGTTTTTCACTGTTTTCTTAACAATTGATTAGTCTAAGTGAGAATTGTTGTTGTTGTTGTTGTTGTTCTCTTTAAAATTGAGATGCAAGGAAGTAATAGTCTTACTAATCTACTAGCCTATAAATGGCCCACTAACTTTAACTACTTGGGGGAGATCATCTGCTGGACGCCTGTAAATTTCATAGCCAATCCGATTAGGGTTTGTTTGAATGAATTTGAAAAAGAGTTTAGATTGACTTTTTTAAATTCTTTCAAATTCAATTTTTTTTTTATAAATATGAGATTCAACACTCAATTCAGTTCATACTCATATTTGATATGCAATACATACATATGTAAGACTCACAAATATATCATAACTATTAACAACTATTTATTTTGTAAATAATTATTTTACCCTTGATCAGTCTAATTTATACTTATGTTAAGGGGTACAATAGTCTTTTAAATCCTTAATCTCTTACCAATCTTCTCAAACCCACTCTCTTCCTAGGACTGACGAAACCAATGATCATGAGTTTAATCTTCGAGCTAGCTACGGGCCGAGTTTGAAAATCCGGAACTGAATTTTTCTTCCATTTAGGGGTGCAACTCGAGCGGTTTGTGCGGGTTGAGAGGTCAACCCTAATCTAACCCTAGGTATATAATCTTCAACCATAACTCTAACCCTAACCTAACCTTACCTCAACCCAAGGTACTTAACCTGAGTATTGCCCGAGTTTAATTCGAACGGATTCGGGTTGAATTTAGGTTACTTAATTCAAGCTGATTTCAAGTTAAAAATCGGATTGGGTTTGAGTGACTTAATTCGAGTTGATTTTTTGAAGTGTAGATTTGATTTTTTCAAGTAATTTAAGATGAAGGGCGAAACGCAGATGAAAGAGAAAGGGAGTGAGAGAGGGAGTGAGAGAAGTGACGAGTGAGAGAGGGAGGAGTGACGATTGAGATAGGGAGGCTGAGAAAGGGAAGGGTGACAAGTGAGAGGGGGATCTGAGAGTGATGGAGATGCAAGGGTAAAAACTTGAAGTGAAGTGAAAATCTGAACTCTAAAGAGTGAAAATAAATATTAATCTTAGTTAAATATATTTATATATTTATGTATATTCGGGTTGAACCCGATAACCCGAGGTCTCAAAACGAGGCTTGTCCAAATTCAATTCGAGTTGGAATTTTTTTGCCCAGGCTCAACCCAAGTATTAAAAATTTTAACCCAAGCCCTATTTTTTTCAAGTTTAGTTAGAATTAAATTTGGGTTGGTCTGCCCTAGTTGCACCCTTACTTCCATCCACAATAAATAACAAAAAAAATATCTTTATCTATACTACTAATAAAGTTACTTTAATATGAAAAACTTTTAATAGACTATTATGCCTTTATAAAATAGTATAAAGGCCTTTGTATCCATTTATAGTTAACTATTTGTATCCATTTATACTTAACTCTGGGTAATCCGTGCCCGAAGATACGGTGCAATATAAATAGTCTTGAGAAAGATATTGGTAGTCGTTGGATAAGTCTATTTGAGGTCGTTGAATAAGCTTAAGCATGCCCTATTTTATATTTATATATTATTCAAATTACTTTTATGTTTTGCTATAGTTAATCATCTAAATTATTCTCGAACATATTTTATTATGTATAAGAAGACAATATTAGATGAAATACCATATCAAAAACTACACATTTATGGGTTAAATTATATTGTTCGGATTCAAATTCTAACAGAAAAAAATACATCATAACATTTAATCAATCCTACAAAAATAAAACTTCAATGGTCAAGTTATATATTTTTTTCAAATATTTAATAAGTATCGATTCTAACAAGATATTGCTTGACAGATATTGAAGACAGAAGTGGCTCAAGACAATTTGGGACCTAAAGCAATACTTATAAATGAGGTCTTCTATGTTTAATATTAATATTTTTTATTTAAAATTAAATTTTCTTGCTTTCTGAGTTGTAAAAGTATTAATAAAATTTTTATATTCAAGTTTTGCTACCATATTTTTTCAATTTATAATATCGCTAATCTAGTTAATCTTTCTTGTGACGTAGTCGATCTTATGTAAGATTATATTAATTTTAATTGTGAAAAGTTTCTTTCTGCAAAAGCAACTGCTACAAGAATTGTTAATAGTATTGTATAAGCAATGTATGCATTTGGAAAAGAATCTAACTTTTTTATATAATTTGGTATCTTAATTGGAGTATTTTCTTTTGTTTGTAAAATTTCTTTTAAAACATTTGGTTCTAAAAATAAATCTAAGCCATCAAAATCGAAAAAAATTTGTGTCTTAAAAAACATTCGAGATTCAAACAATATTGTTTTAAACTATCATTGGTCAATAATTTTAATTTTTCTAAGTTAAATAAAAAATCAAAAAAAATTTCGTACTTTTGTAATTGTTCAAATCTACTCTTTAGTGAAGAAATAGCTTGATCAATTATATATGTAAAATAATCAATTCTAAATGATTCTTCAATAGATTGTATTATCTCATCATTAACATTGTTATCAAATTATTTTTTTTTACAAACTAAATGTTTTTCATGAAATATAGGTTCTAAACCCATTTCACATGCAATCTCTTTAGATGAAATTATAGTATTTGTAAATCCACTTTCCCTATATTTTTCAAAAAAAGAAATAAGACCTTTTAATTGATCTATAGCAATATCAATATGCATGTCTTTTGATTGTAAATATTTACTAACTAAGTTAACGGAAAATAAAATATCATACCAAATAGTCATGTCCAATAAGAACTCAAAATTCTCAATTTCATATGTTACTAAACAATTAACTTCATTTCGTGTTTTAGGATCTTCACTAGTTTCTGCTAATTGCAATAATGCATCTCTTATTCTTGGAGTTTGAAATCTTATTGCTTTAACACTTTCAACACGATTTTCACGTGTTTGTGACAATGACTTAAGAGTTAAACCTTGAACATTATCTTGTAAAAATTTTTATCATTTTGTGAAAGAAGAAAATAATGAATATATACATTGTATTTTTCCAAAAAATGATATAGCATTGGGACAAGAGTTAGTCATATCACAAAGTACTAGATTTAAATTATGACAATTTACATGGTGTGTAAAATACTCTAGAATTTATATTGAGTAGCATTTTTTGT